AAAAGGTGCACGAGAGACGAGAGCAGGCGTATTTTCCCCGGGTTCCATAGCTAAAATGACTTAAGTGCCGCCACACTCGTCCACATACATAGAGATTACGTGAGAAAGTATACAATAAACATTCAACTCGGTTCACCAATAGAAAGGAAAATTAAAGGAATAGAACACAAGTCTGTCTGTAGAATGGATATCTCTTCTCCTGCTCACCTTTCACATCTCATACAGACACCCCCTCTACGCACATGCGCAGTTGTCGTTCTACCTCAAATTGCCGTAAATGCTCATGCTACAATGCGTAGGCTATGCATTAAACATATCATTAAAGAGTAGTTAAAATATGTCCAACGAGCAGTTTCAGTTTTTAACATTTAACATGAAGTAACTTAATCTGTTCCGTTTGTGGCATCATCACTCGCAAACGACAAACGTTTGAATGAGGATAGACCCAGACCTGGTGTGTTTTGTAAATGTGTTTTTATTACTCCAATAGTTTTAGTCATCTTGTTCAGATAGCAGATGACCGTGTTCACATTTTGTTTGTTGGACTATGTTTTTTAGGTGAAGACTCTGAGAGCTGTCAACCTTCAGTCTTTATAGGAATAAATTAAAAGAATTCAAGTGATAGTCGTTCTGTTTGACTAATTGATATTTCGTTTAGTGCAACTTTCTGGCTATTTGATGTGGGATCACACGAAGGATCAACACGAAAAGTCATACTGTTTTACACTTAAACTATTATAACTGAATCACATCTGACTAGTGCACTTAGTGATGCACGCTCATTAAAGTGGGTGCATAAGACTGACATGACACCTTCATAATCATGACATGAAACATGTCATGAATATAAAGGAGGTTTCATGCATGTTTATGACAACTGTCATTAAGTGTCATTCACTCAATTATGACATTTTTTATGCAAATATGACATTGTTTGAGATGTCTCGGTAATGACACCTTGACATAAACCAATACATCATAACCTGTCAGTGTCTTTGTCATGACAACTTGACATTACTAAGACATCACAACCTGTCATAAATATGTCATAAACATGACATAGCAGATTAATTATCAAACTTAAGAAGCCACTTAGCTTTATGGGTTAACATTACAATAAACTGTCATGTTGTTGGTTTTGACATTGGCTGTCAATCTCTCTCTCGTCTCTCAGATATGGCCGCTATGGCCGCTACGTACACTTTGAGCGTGGATGGGGAGCGACCCGCACCCAAAAGCTCTTGTAAAAAGGAGAGCACCACTGACACCTCGCATGAGTGGGACTCAAAGTTTCTGGCTGAGCACCGTAGAGTCGTCTCATAGACGGCGCCCTAGCCTAATACATGGGGACCGGATACCCATGTGTTGTGTGTTGTGAAAACATTATCTTTTTGTGCTTTATTTGGGTCGCTGTGAAAACAGCGTTTGTTTGTAGGGGTGCGTGCAGTGCGACGGGCCCATTGACTACATTCAGAAAAACTCCAGCCGCCTGAATTGAACAGGGAGCTGTGAGTGACTGTCTTTTCGAGGGCGGTCCGGCTAGCACAAGACTCGGACCTTGAGCGACTTCGGGTATCAGCCGCAGGGCGGGGCTGGGAGACCCAAGGCGCTGGTTTGGCTGGCTGAGGAGGTGGCGTGCTCGTGGTGGCACGACGCAGAGCTGGAGCGTTTAGGCAGAAAGTGTCTCATGGCCTGAGAAGACTTCTGCGCCTCGGTGAACCTCTCTGAAAATCCCTTCTCCGGCGGGCTGAAGAGACCGGTGTTGGATATGGGGGAAATCGAGGAACGCCGTCCTGTCCGCTTCCTTGATGTCAGCAGGGCCGGCTCTAACCCTTTGGTTGCCCTAGGCGATATTGAGTTTTGCGCCCCCCACCCACCCACCCTTAAAAAAATTATAAGTATTTATTAAACTAAACATGCTCTTATAGTTACTCAAAAACTTAAACAATAAATTGTTCATACAAATGCTACAAAGAACGTTCAAGGATATTTATATCATAGTTGCATTGTACAACTATATTTTATCTGACCATAAATAACTTTTAATAGATAAATTACAACTACTACCACCACTAGGCCTACTATTATTACAATCTATTGGGCTGCTACAAGGTTAAGAGGGTTTCTGGGGTATTTCCCCGTAAGAAAATTGTCCATTTTAATGTTAAATTCATCAATCTGGTGCACTTTGAGAGTTCAAAACTAAAAGCTCCAACCCATATTCAGTGTGCAAATTGAACAAAGATTTAATTACAGTGTCTGTCTACATTACACTACTACTACATAATAGATATAATATTAATCCCATGACAGTAATTGCCATAGGCTATAGGCTATTGTAAAACAAATGCACTGAAAAATAAAGGAAACTTTCATGAGTATTGTACAAATTTCTATACTTGAAGGTAAGTTATATATTTGGAAGTAACCCAGCGCCGCCAATTAAGCAAAACAAAACGAATGGGCCACCGATGTACGAGTTTTATGGGCCGTTAAGACAAAAATAGAAAAATAAAAGTATGAGATGTATGTATCGGCCCAAAAAGCACGTCGGGCCCGCGGGAATCTCCCGGTTGTCCCGATGGCCAGAACATTTGACACCTTAATGGATGAGATGAGAAGACTTACCTCTATACTGGGCTTTCTTTTTATCTTGTTGTTTTCGTCCCTGTGCACCAGAGGGTTTAGACCGCTTCATTTTCGATCAGCGCGCGCAGCAGCCGAGCACTTGCCGAGTTCAGACTGCACGATTTTAGCCCCGATTTTGGCTCGCCGACAGGTTTTGAGAAATCGCCGACAAATGCCCGAAATCACAGGCAAATCGGTGCTCGTTCACGCGAGTGACAATCACGCAGTGTGAATGAGCAAAGATGCGATCTGAGAGAATCGCCGACGAGTCGCCGACGCCCGTGAGATATTTGGCATGCTAAATATCTGTACCTGTCGGCGATTCACAATCCTGCTGTGTGAATGTGTTCTGACTAAAAACTACATCGGCGATGACCGACAGCCAATGAGAGAGCAAGATACAGGGAGGAGGGGGGGGAGTAGTTATAGAGCAGAATATCAGTATTTAATAGATAGGCCTATATTTACAATTATATCAAACAGAAACAAAGCACAAACATTTGCATGACCAGCAGCAACAGCAGGACATTTGCAAAATTATTTATTTACCCCCAACTCTCTTTGCAAAACACAGTCCTTGCTCCCCTCGTCTTCCCAACCATTTCCTGCATAAACTTTTTTTTTTTTTTTTTTTTTTCGCTACAAATCAGTGCACAGACAATTTGTAGGCTATCATTTTTAATAACAAATTCAGTGTCGCGCGAGAACTCCGGTATCACGCATGCGTGATCTTCCGTTATTTCCTTATCACTTCTCGCGTTTGTTTGGTTGTGAAACGTAGTTTGCGGACCAGGCAGAAGTTGTCGGCGATTCTTTCTTTTGTAAAGTCATGCAGTGTGAAACCTCCTGTCGCCGATCCATCGTGCAGTGTGAACACAGCAGCAACTGAACGTTACCCAGCCCAGATAGTCATGCAGTGTGAAAACAACAGTGACCCGATTATTTTGAAAATCGTGCAGTCTGAACTCGGCATTACGTAACCATAGAACGCAACGTAACGCAACTAACCCCCGCCCCCCCTTTAGGAAATGATCGACAATAATCATCCATTCAATCTAATAATCAGGTTGACAAGTAATTAAACGTATGGCTGAGGGGCGCCTTAGGATGATCATGTTTAATAAACATGTTTTTGTTTCGCTTGTCATTCTAATTCTGTGATTAATGGGAAGTAGGCCAAGGGCGACACTAGAGGGCGCCCGCGCCCCCAACACATTTGTCGCCCTAGGCAACCGCCTAGTTCGCCTATAGCAATCGCCGGCCCAGTGAGGTTTAGCCATAGATGGCGCTCAAGCACAACAAGGTTCGCCATGCCTCTGCCGATGGGCTGGGCAGTAGCCTTTGTAGCGCGTAGCGCTAAGTCAGTGGCGCTGCGCAGGTTTATCAAGCTTTGCCTGATAAACCTGCAACACCGCCATGGTGTGCAGGGCCGATGCAGCCTGACCGGAAGCTGAAAAGGCGCGTCCAGCGAGGGCTGAGGTGTTTCGGCAGGGCCTCGAGGGGTGCACCGCACTAGATCTCCAGCCAGCAGCAGTGTAATGTCTTAAAATATATGAATGCTAAACCTTTGTATTTTAACGGTATAAATCGTTTTTTAATGTCTTTAAATGCTATATGATTGTAAAAGGAACACTTTCTTCAAATTTATGTAAAAAACTTTCTTTAATAAAAATATCCTTTGATCGTATGTTTGTCGTTACCCAATACATCACTTCACCTTTTAAAAGTTTAAAGCACATTGTTTTTGAATATTTGGGAGGGGTGTGGATTTTTTAAGGGTCATAAATCAATCAAATTTGACACATATTGGCCTATAACACTGAGGTGGAACACCCTGCCTCAACTCTCCTTGTATCTAATTCCTTAGAATTAAACTGTTTTCAACATTGATAATAATAATTAATGTTTCTGGGGCACCAAATCGGCTTTCCATTTTATGACTTTTGGTCAAAACAATAATAATAATAATAATAATAATAATTCATTACATTTATATAGCGCTTTTCTAGGCACTCAAAGCGCTTCACATGGAAGGGGGAATCTCCAACGCATTCTCATCCCAAAGCGTAATATATTGACTCTTTTGACAAAGCCTCTATATCCAACGCACATGGCACCCTTTAGCGTCAATATAACACGCTTAGGTTTTGGGTAGGTTTAGGTCTGGGGTAGTGTTAGGGTTAGACCACTAGGAGGCGCCATATACCTGCGTCTCATATGACGCTAAAGGGTGCCATGTGCGTTGGATATAGACGCTTTGTCAAAAGAGTCAATATATTACGACTCAACCACCATGTTATCATCTTTGCTTTACGGTAGTATGGTCCACAGAGGCATTGAAGAGTGTGTGTTGTAAAATGTGCTTTGTATACCTGAGGGATATTAGATGTCAGTCCAGCTGCTGAAGCTATGTAACCGGTAGAGTTGCCACTGAGCTCAACAGTGAGGCTGATGTTAGTTAAGATAGCTGAGGTGAAGAAACACTGAGAGCTAGCCGAAGGATCACATCCTTTAGGGTTGTCCAAACACAGTTTGGTTTTTCCACACTCATTGCGGGTGATTTGGGTCTATGAATAAGAAAAAAAGAAGGTAATTTAATAATGGTTCTTTGAACCAAATAATTGTGGAAAGGAGTAAATGGTATTCTTACAGTCAAAGTTGTTGGTGTTGATAGGTTGCTTTCAGCCTTAATGAAAGACACTGCACAGCCTATAACGCAAACCACTAAAAACATCCGCTTACTCTCCATGTCTGAGAAAAAGATTATATATGCATTTAATAAAATGAACCTGAATTAAAATGATCGTATATCATATTTATGGAATAAATCATTTATGGATTACAATTTAAAATAAAACATTTTATAATTAAAGTAATGTTGTCTATATATAATAATTCTGCAAACAAGTATGTTTTACTCAAACAATGAACTATTTGTTATTTGGACAACTAATTGTTATGTATAGAAGGGTTTGATTTTAAATTATTAGTTTTATGGTTCTGAAAAAACATAAAAAAAAAAAAAAACATTATAGAGTAAAATTAATAAGAAATATTATAGGTTGTGCACTCTTCCCATGTAACGAATCTCTGAGATTTTGTTCCTTCCCCTGAAGCACAAGATCTTGCACAAACCTGTGGTATTCATACCAAATTCTTTAAAGTTATAAAATTTTACACTTTCAGTTCAATATCTCAAATAATAATATGATAATTAAATGAATAATAATCATAAATATATGGCCTGGTTTCACAGACAGGGTTTAGAATAAACCAGGATTTAGTTCAATTAGGACATTTAAGTAGCTTTTATAAACATTCCTTAGAAAACAAAACATGGTGTGCATCTGGAAACAAAACAATGGCATTGACATTAAGACATGTCAGTGCAAGCGGTTTTCAGTTAAAACAGCTCAAACTTGCATTTTAGTCTGGGACTAGGCTTAAACCTTGTCTTTCAGGTGTATGTGTATTACAGTAGTATATTAAATTGCAATTTACTATACAATATAACTACACTGAAAAAAATATTCTTTTTTTTATTTTAGTAGTAATTAGCAAACTTAATTTAATGTCTTCCAATCAATTTATCCATTGCATTTCAATTTACAAAAAAAAAAAAAAAAGTTTGCTACTTTTTAGAAGTAAAATAAAAAAGCCCATTCAAAAAAAAAGAAAAAAAAAGAAAGAAAGAGTAGTGGTCTCAGACTTTTGAATCTATAAACTTGAATAATTGGCATGGATTAAACACCACAATACAGAAAAAAATTAAATAAACTACGCAAACCTTAATCAAAATCATAAACTTTGCATATATGCTACTTTTACTTCTTCTACCTTTAGATGTCTTCACCAGTAGATACGTTGACCTTCACACCTTTGGAAAATGAGTAATGAATTCCTTGTTTAAGTAAAGGACAAAGCCCACAGAACCGGATTGGAAATGAGCACACCCCACTAAATGCATGAGGAAATACAATTGTCGTCGGATTGTTATGTAGTAAATCTGTAAACTAAAAGAACGCTTATCAAAATAATATATTAAAAAAATAATACATTTAAAACCATAATCTTACATAAACCCCAGTGTTAAATTAACACCCTTCAGTGTACATATATATGTCCAGACCCTATGGTCCAGACTGGGTGTTAAAATAACACTGAAGCTGTTGAGGTTAATGATGATAATTAAGTAATTAATCATGTGATGATTGACAATTAGTAGTGCCACCTGATTTTAATAAGCAGAATCATTGAAGGAAAGAGAAACAACAAGAACAGAAAAAGAGACCCACAGAAACACAACGACTGCAACTGACTTCCAGACATTACACATTATTGCATTATTATTATTTATTTATTTATTTCTGTCACTTCTACAAAAGTCCTTATTAAGAATTAACAGAAATTACAATTTTAATGTTAATGAAATTTTCATTTGAAGTCATGTTTTCTTTAATTGAACTCTTGACTTTTGAACAATAGTTTTTTTCTGGCTGTAAAATCATAACAGTAAATCTGTGATGTTACAGCTTGAGAGCAGTGCTGTTTTTTTAAACACAGACATCAAACCTCAACAATGGTGACAATCAAACAAAATGCTTTATGTTGCAGTGCATGAAGGGAGCCACCAATCAAAACTCAACCATGGCTCCCATCATGCATTGCAGCGTGAATAAATTTGCAGCTGAATTGTCCTATTATTTTTTTTAATTGTTCCTGTTTGCTTTTATTTTGCCGTTGTTTTATTGTGACTTTTTTGTGAAGTTCAAAGTTGATCTGTTTGTCAATATTTTGTTTATTGTCACCGTTGTTGAGATTCATATGCTGGGCCCGTATGTATAAAACTTCTCAAAAAGGCTCTTAAGCTTTGACCTAAGTGTCAAAAAATTCTTAGTAAAAAGCAAGGGGGTAATCTACCAGCTGGAAACTGAAGTCTCCCCGGGGGCCGCCATTGGCTAACAAGCCTTCACCTGCTGTTAGCATTCCATTGACTCCCATTCATTTTGGCGTCACTTTGACAGCGAATAACTTTACATCTGAGGCGTTTAAAGACTTCATTTGTCCATTGTTTATTTCTAAAGAAACACGACAATGTATAAAAGGCTCCATTACCTTGTATCTTACGTTGTGGCCCCGTAGAAGCAGTTTTTGTAAAAATAGGCTAACAATTGCGTCATAACACGCGACTCTCTGTCGCACAGTACAGAAATTACCGTATAGACAGAAGTAGAAGCTCGCACGCAATCGGGGGGATGTGGAGGCATAAAGTCAAGTGAGAAGCCCATAGAGAGTCATAAAGTTGCTCCTGCTGCTAGCTCATGGACAGCTAAGACAGCATGGACGGCCGGTCTGAGTATTTCACAGTCTGCTCAGTTACTGGGATTTTCACACACAACCATTTCTAGGGTTTACAAGGAATGGTGTGAAAAGGGAAAAACATCCAGTATGCGGCAGTCCTTTGGGCGAAAATGCCTTGTTGAGGCTGGAGGTCAGAGGAGAATGGGCCGACTGAATCAAGCTGATAGAAGAGCAACTTTGACTGAAATAACCACTCGTTACAACCGAGGTATGCAGCAAAGCATTTGTGAAGCCACAACACGCACAACCTTGAGGCGGATGGGCTACATTAGCAGAAGACCCCACCGGGCACCACTCATCTCCACTACAAATAGGAAAAAGAGGCTACAATTTGCAAGAGCTCACCAAACTTGGACAGTTGAAGACTGGAAAAATGTTGCCTGATCTGATGAGTCTCGATTTCTGTTGAGACATTCAGATGGTAGAGTCAGAATTTGGCGTAAACAGAATGAGAACATGGATCCATCATGCCTTGTTACCACTGTGCAGGCTGGTGGTGGTGGTGTAATGGTGTGGGGGATGTTTTCTTGGCACACTTTAGGCCCCTTAGTGCCAATTGGGCATCGTTTAAATGCCACGGCCTACCTGAGCATTGTTTCTGACCCTTTATGGCCACCATGTACCCAACCTCTGATGGCTACTTCCAGCAGGATAATGCACCAATGTCACAAAGCTCGAATAATTTCAAATTGGTTTCTTGAACATCTCGATGAGTTCACTGTATTAAAATGGCCCCCACAGTCACCAGATCTCAAGCCAATAGAGCATCTTTGGGATTTGGTGGAACGGGAACTTCGTGCCCTGGATGTGCATCCCACAAATCTCCATCAACTGCAAGATGCTATCCTATCAATATGGGCCAACATTTCTAAAGAATGCTTTCAGCACCTTGTTGAATCAATGCCACGTAGAATTAAGGCAGTTCTGAAGGCGAAAGGGGGTCAAAAACAGTATTAGTATGGTGTTCCTAATAATCCTTTAGGTGAGTGTATAGCCAGATCTCGTTAAGTAGGAATGCAATCCGACATCTGCCATGTTGCCGTTATCATGTGACCTACGACGCGCTATCACAAACGCAGCAACTTAAAATATACGAACGACACGTTTAATTCATCTATCTGTAAACATCTTGATATTGATGAAACTTGCTCATTTTGTGGTATTGTTTAAGAAACAGCTGCCCATTTATTTTGTGAATACATTTAGGGTTGATTTAAGTTGTTATATTTTAAAGGAACACTTCACCCATTTCAACATTAATCTTTATTGAAAGTGGGTCATATATGTAGTCGACATGTAAAAGAAATTTTGAATTTGGTGCCCTCTTGACCGAGAAAAGACAGAAAATAACTTTAGGGCGCATTTGTATGAAAGACAACAACTCCCACAATGCACCACATTGCACAGCTCCGCAAGCCACTCCCACTACTCCAGAACAGCGCAAACATCAGATAAATCACTCGTCTACAAGGCTAACGTGAGCTGCCACCAGAGTTAGAAATTCATTTCACACAAAATGTATAGTTAGTTGGCTGTGGCGAGCAGGACGAGGGACGTGAGAGCGGCGCGAGGCCGGTGGCGTGAGTGATAATGATCGACATCTGTAAGACGCACCGGTCTCTCTCGCGTCTCTCACCGAGGAGCGGACGCATAAAACGAGGAGCGACGACAGTCCAGATCGAGAGAGGAACAGGCCTGATTTTATGGTGTGTTTTGTTTCTGTTGTGTGTGGCCAGCAGTGAGGGGCTGCTGGCTTATACTTTTGTTTTGTATTTGTTTATTTTACTATTAAAATGTTTAAATGTTCGCCGATTCCCGTCTCATTCTTCCCACAACAACGAACCCCGTTACATTGGCAAACTCATTAGCGAATTACTCCTCGTTTGTATTTCTTTCTATATGGTGAATTATTGCATGATACCTGTATGTTCCAGTCAGAACAAATGCGGTGCGACACTAGGATTGTTCACATCACAACACAAACGTCCGTGTGCTCGTCTGATCCAGAGATTTCGTCCAGGAGAAATTGCGATCGTTGAAATTCTCTGCAGCAGATGGACTCTGTCCGTAGCGCACAGCGAGAGCACACGCACCAGCAGCCCGCCTCAGCTCGAGCCAGTCCGGGCTCCTCGTCCGCTTCAGTCCGCCTCAGCGCGAGCCAGTCCGGGCTCCTGTGCTCCTCCTCAGCCTCAGCTGCTCTTCACTATACTGCGGCTCGTAAAGATAGCCACGAACACCGGATTCGAGCAGCAGAATTTCAAAATCCTCTTCTTCCATATCATGTTTAGTTTCTTCCGTCATTGTCGTAACTTCCTATCTCCACAGCGCTTGTCAGCTTAGCTTCCAAACAAGATGGCTGATATTGCTTTCTGTATCTGCAAGTGAAGTCCCCAGAGATGGGACCAAGTCACACATGTGCAAGTCTCAAGTAAGTCTCAAGTCTTAACCTTCAAGTCTCAAGTAAGTCCCAAGTATTTTTTTCCTGGGCAAGTCAAGTCAAGTCAAGTCACAGGCTATGTCAAGTCAAGTCAAGTCAAGTCTTGTAGTAGGTCAAGTCAAGTCCAAGTCAAGTCACCTTATTATTGTAATTTTACCTGCAGAATTTGATCTATGGGCGTCAGTTTGGTTTGAAATGAACAGAGGCGCATTCGGAAGTGCATTTGGGAACAATGACGCATTCATTCACTTTTTTCTTTCACGCAGGTCATGTTTTGAAAGATGGTGTCCTGTAGCTTACTAATTTAAAGAAATAAAAATGTATACAAAAATGTGATGTCTGACTTCTTTTATGAAGAAGAAAGCCTTAAAGGGGTCATATAATGGTACATGCACTTTTACAAGTTGATTGTACTGAAATGTGTGTTGGCAGTGACTGTACACAACCATCATATAATGATAAAAATCCATCCAGTGGTTTTGTTTTAATCTCCTTATATGTTTTCCCCTGCCTCAAATCGAGCCGTTCGAGCCTGTGACGTCACAGGCTCGGAAGCCCCTCCCACGATTGTTGAATGACAGCCGCGTTTCAACACAGACCCGCCCTCGCTCGTGAGAGCGAGCTGTCAATCATAGTCTGCGCGGACCGGCGCGGTCATTGTTGATATGCTGGAGCACTGTCTATGAGCAGAATGGCATCTAAGCGATTGTGGTGTTCTGTTCTTGGGTGTAATAAGGAACACAGTCATTTTAATGTTCCTAAATCCGAACCGCTGAAGACGCAGTGGCTGAGTTTGTTTTCGAAGGGAATATTCCCCACGAGCAACGTCAATGCTCTCATGTTTGCCCGAATCATTTCACACACCAGACTGCTTTATAAATGAGGGTGAGTATAAAGCTGGATTTGCTAAGTAGCTGCTCATGAAAAAAGATCGGTACCAGATATTCGTGTTCCTGCTGAATCTCCAGAAGAACTGAAGTGAGTGTAACGTTTTATTCAACTTTGTATTAATATTTATATCTTTGCAAATCGCTAGCTGCACACTTCACAATGAATGCGTCTAAGGTTTACACTCAGGGTACATTACGGCATGTTTT